TATAAGTTTTATTATAGACATTTTAATTTTTTTTTCACATATTCATCAATTATAAACTTACTTTTGCAACTTCCATTTTCATCAAAGCTTTCTCCATCCTGGCACCCGCATTCGAATCCTCCAGGAATTTCATTGTTCATTTTACAGAATGCTTTTTTGTCGCTACAAAATTGGATGTTTTTGGTAATCTGACAGGTGCCTGAAAAATAAAATACATTTTAATTTTTCCTCAGTTTCATTACATATATAAAAGCATCCTTGAATTCTATTTTATTCGCGAACAGAAAATATTATCTGAATCTGGTTAGGTCTATCTAATTCTTTCTGTAAAAGGAATATATATATATATATATATATATTAAAAATGGCATATCCTGACCAGGAGCAAATGTGCTTTTCAGAAGGCAGAGCGCCATCTGGTGGAACAGAAATCAACTAAACATTGATTTAGCCTGTTCCCTGATATTTGGCCAAACCAATTTCTTGATAAATCAAGAAAAGCCATCCACGAACGCGTTTCGCGCTTTTGGCGCTCGTCAGCGTGGAGTAGGCTGAACCATTGCGACCAAAAAAGATTTTTTGATCCCAATGGCTTCCCGAAAAACCAAGAAATGGGTATTTAAGGCCAAACTTGCGTAAATACGCTTAGCACATTAAAAAACGAAAGAAAAAAATAAAAGATAAAAAGATCAGGTGTTGAAATCAATATTAAAAATGGCATATCCTGACCAGGAGCAAATGTGCTTTTCAGAAGGCAGAGCGCCATCTGGTGGAACAGAAATCAACTAAACATTGATTTAGCCTGTTCCCTGATATTTGGCCAACCCAATTTCTTGATAAATCAAGAAAAGCCATCCACATTTCTTGGTTTTTCGGGAAGCCATTGGGATCAAAAAATCTTTTTTGGTCGCAATGGTTCAGCCTACTCCACGCTGACGAGCGCCAAAAGCGCGAAACGCGTTCGTGGATGGCTTTTCTTGATTTATCAAGAAATTGGGTTGGCCAAATATCAGGGAACAGGCTAAATCAATGTTTAGTTGATTTCTGTTCCACCAGATGGCGCTCTGCCTTCTGAAAAGCACATTTGCTCCTGGTCAGGATATGCCATTTTTAATATTGATTTCAACACCTGATCTTTTTATCTTTTATTTTTTTCTTTCGTTTTTTAATATATATATATGTTCAAAAATATATTAATTTTCATAAAACTAGTATTTCTCAAAATTACGAGGAAATTTTGCATATTATCTGAAAATTAGTTTTATATTTTTTGAAAAACAATTAGATTTAGTAAAATGGGCATTTTTATCTTTTGTTATGGAATTTTCCTTCTTGCATACACTGTTGAATACTTCTTTGGCGTCAGGTTAAGAAACATCATCTACATTATTTTTTCGACCTATTGCTTTTGAGCGTATTTGATGTATATATTTGACAAATAAACTCAAATCCATTTATTTTGGAAAATTTAATTAGGTAAATTGAATGAATCTTACTTATTCAAATGAAAAAATTCAAAACCAATTGGTATCCAAAAAATTTCTTCAATTGATTATAAAATAGAAAGAGGAGATAAATAATTGAAGTTAATGAACCTAATAACCTACAACAATTTTCAAAAGCACTCAAAACACACTCATGGTTCTAGAGGTAATATGGAGTGATAAAATAATTTAAAATTATTTTAGAGGCGTAATATTCTTTTTAAAATAAAACAATTTCTACTGTCCTTACTGCGATGGAAAAATTAAAAATAAAGTAAGGACAGTAGAAATTGTTTTATTTTAAAAATAATATTACGCCTCTAAAAGAGTTTCATAATTTGATAACAGATGGCGCTCTAGTACATCATAAAATAATTTACTGATTTCCTTCAAAATTAATATATAAGACTTATTATATACATTTAAAAAAATATTTTTCACTTATTCCTCAATTATAAACTCACCTTTGCAACATCCATTTTCATTAAAGCTTTCTCCCTCCTGGCACCCGCATTCGAATCCTTGTTACGAACGGAAAAATACGTCCAGGGTAGCCGAGTGGACAAGGCACCTGCCCGGTAAGCAGAAGGGTTTGGGTTCGATTCCCGCCCCTGGACACTTTTTATATTTATACGTTCGCCATTACTCTTCATGTTTCAACTTTCCATACTTCATCCTTAAAGTTAGAAATGGTCGCTATTTCTCTTTAAAAATAAATTTCGATTTTTATAAGAGAAACATTCGCGGTATAATTGCAATTTTCGTTTTACAATCATCAGCCGCGTTATATTGTATTTTAAATGTTACTTTAAGTATTATTTACGAACGGAAAAATACGTCCAGGGTAGCCGAGTGGACAAGGCACCTGCCCGGTAAGCAGAAGGGTTTGGGTTCGATTCCCGCCCCTGGACACTTTTTATTTTTCCGTTCGCCATTACTCTTCATGTTTCACCTTTCCATACTTCATTCTTAAAGTTAGAAATGGTCGCTATTTCTCTTTAAAAATAAATTTCGATTTTTATAAAAGAAACATTCGCGGTATAATTGCAGTTTTATTTTTATTTGAAAAACAATTATATGTAGTAAAGTGGGCATTTTACGAGTATCTTTCATTATGGAATTTTCATTCTTGCATACACTGTTGAATACCTCTTTGGCGTCAGGTTTAGAAACACAATCGGCATTATTTTCTCGACCTTTAGCTTTTGAGCGTAATTATACCGCGAATGTTTCTCTTATAAAAATCGAAATTTATTTTTAAAGAGAAATAGCGACCATTTCTAACTTTAAGAATGAAGTATGGAAAGGTGAAACATGAAGAGTAATGGCGAACGGAAAAATAAAAAGTGTCCAGGGGCGGGAATCGAACCCAAACCCTTCTGCTTACCGGGCAGGTGCCTTGTCCACTCGGCTACCCTGGACGTATTTTTCCGTTCGTAACTAATACTTAAAGTAACATTTAAAATACAATATAACGCGGCTGATGATTGTAAAACGAAAATTGCAATTATACCGCGAATGTTTCTCTTATAAAAATCGAAATTTATTTTTAAAGAGAAATAGCGACCATTTCTAACTTTAAGGATGAAGTATGGAAAGTTGAAACATGAAGAGTAATGGCGAACGTATAAATATAAAAAGTGTCCAGGGGCGGGAATCGAACCCACACCCTTCTGCTTACCGGGCAGGTGCCTTGTCCACTCGGCTACCCTGGACGTATTTTTCCGTTCGTAACTAATACTTAAAGTAACATTTAAAACACATTATAACGCGGCTGATGATTGTAAAACGAAAATTGAAATTATACCGCGAATGTTTCGCTTATAAAAATCGAAATTTATTTTTAAAGAGAAATAGCGACCATTTCTAACTTTAAGGATGAAGTATGGAAAGGTGAAACATGAAGAGTAATGGCGAACGGAAAAATAAAAAGTGTCCAGGGGAGGGAATCGAACCCACACCCTTCTGCTTACCGGGCAGGTGCCTTGTCCACTCGGCTACCCTGGACGTATTTTTCCGTTCGTAACTAATACTTAAAGTAACATTTAAAATACAATATAACGCGGCTGATGATTGTAAAACGTGAATTGCAAATATACCGCGAATGTTTCTCTTATAAAAATCGAAATTTATTTTTAAAGAGAAATAGCGACCATTTCTAACTTTAAGGATGAAGTATGGAAAGGTGAAACATGAAGAGTAATGGCGAACGGAAAAATAAAGAGTGTCCAGGGGCGGGAATCAAACCCACACCCTTCTGCTTACCGGGCAGGTGCCTTGTCCACATCAGCCGCGTTATATTGTATTTTAAATGTTACTTTAAGTATTAGTTACGAACGGAAAAATACGTCCTGGGTAGCCGAGTGGACAAGGCACCTGCCCGGTAAGCAGAAGGGTGTGGGTTCGATTCCCGCCCCTGGACACTTTTTATTTTTCCATTCGCCATTACTCTTCATGTTTCACCTTTCCATACTTCATCCTTAAAGTTAGAAATGGTCGCTATTTCTCTTTAAAAATAAATTTCGATTTTTATAAGAGAAACATTCGCGGTATAATTGCAATTTTCGTTTTACAATCATCAGCCGCGTTATATTGTATTTTAAATGTTACTTTAAGTATTAGTTACGAACGGAAAAATACGTCCAGGGTAGCCGAGTGGACAAGGCACCTGCCCGGTAAGCAGAAGGGTGTGGGTTCGATTCCCGCCCCTGGACACTTTTTATTTTTCCGTTCGCCATTACTCTTCATGTTTCACCTTTCCATACTTCATCCTTAAAGTTAGAAATGGTCGCTATTTCTCTTTAAAAATAAATTTCGATTTTTATAAGAGAAACATTCGCGGTATAATTGCAATTTTCGTTTTACAATCATCAGCCGCGTTATATTGTATTTTAAATGTTACTTTAAGTATCAGTTACGAACGGAAAAATACGTCCAGGGTAGCCGAGTGGACAAGGCACCTGCCCGGTAAGCAGAAGGGTGTGGGTTCGATTCTGCCCCTGGACACTTTTTATTTTTCCGTTCGCCATTACTCTTCATGTTTCACCTTTCCATACTTCATCCTTAAAGTTAGAAATGGTCGCTATTTCTCTTTAAAAATAAATTTCGATTTTTATAAGAGAAACATTCGCGGTATAATTGCAATTTTCGTTTTACAATCATCAGCCGCGTTATATTGTATTTTAAATGTTACTTTAAGTATTAGTTACGAACGGAAAAATACGTCCTGGGTAGCCGAGTGGACAAGGCACCTGCCCGGTAAGCAGAAGGGTGTGGGTTCGATTCCCGCCCCTGGACACTTTTTATTTTTCCGTTCGCCATTACTCTTCATGTTTCACCTTTCCATACTTCATCCTTAAAGTTAGAAATGGTCGCTATTTCTCTTTAAAAATAAATTTCGATTTTTATAAGAGAAACATTCGCGGTATAATTGCAATTTTCGTTTTACAATCATCAGCCGCGTTATATTGTATTTTAAATGTTACTTTAAGTATTAGTTACGAACGGAAAAATACGTCCAGGGTAGCCGAGTGCACAAGGCACCTGCCCGGTAAGCAGAAGGGTGTGGGTATGATCCCGCCCCTGGACACTTTTTATTTTTCCGTTCGCCATTACTCTTCATGTTTCACCTTTCCATACTTCATCCTTAAAGTTAGAAATGGTCGCTATTTCTCTTTAAAAATAAATTTCGATTTTTATAAGAGAAACATTCGCGGTATAATTGCAATTTTCGTTTTACAATCATCAGCCGCGTTATATTGTATTTTAAATGTTACTTTAAGTATTAGTTAAGAACGGAAAAATACGTCCAGGGTAGCCGAGTGGACAAGGCACCTACCCTGTAAGCAGAAGGGTGTGGGTTCGATTCCCGCCCCTGGACACTTTTTATTTTTCCGTTCGCCATTACTCTTCATGTTTCACCTTTCCATACTTCATCCTTAAAGTTAGAAATGGTCGCTATTTCTCTTTAAAAATGAATTTCGATTTTTATAAGAGAAACATTCGCGGTATAATTGCAATTTTCGTTTTACAATCCCCAGCCGCGTTATATTGTATTTTCAATGTTACTTTAAGTATTAGTTACGAACGGAAAAATACGTCCAGGGTAGCCGAGTGGACAAGGCACCTGCCCGGTAAGCAGAAGGGTGTGGGTTCGATTCCCGTCCCTGGACACTTTTTATTTTTCCGTTCGCCATTACTCTTCATGTTTCACCTTTCCATACTTCATCCTTCAAGTTAGAAATGGTCGCTATTTCTCTTTAAAAATAAATTTCGATTTTTATAAGAGAAACATTCGCGGTATAATTGCAATTTTCGTTTTACAATCATCAGCCGCGTTATACAGTAATCCCTCGTTAAGACGAACTCAACGGGAGAACGAAATACCCTTTTCGTCTTAAAAGAATATATACCGAATTCGTATAAACCGAATTCGTTTTAGACGAATTGAATTCGTTGTATTTGGGGGTTGTACTTATGTATTACTGATGAGTAAGAAAACTACATTTCTGAGGAATAACGAATATATTTATTTGAAAACAATATTAATGAAAATATTTTATAATTTTAAGGAACAACAATTATGTATATGTATGTACATAAAGTATTTTTTTAAAAAGACAATATGGATAATATAATCACAATGTAAGGCAATAACATGAGAATATAAGTTTATTTCAAAACACAAATAAAGAGAACAACAAAAGAAACAACTTACATAATATACTTGGTACATACAATGTTTATGTGTATGCAGCATATGCAGTATGCATAGAGTATCCTATATCTGGGTTTTCTCTGCAGGCTTCAGAAAGTCTGTTATAGTTTTTTGGTGGTATTTGATTGGGCACTGTTTCAGACACTCCCTTCTTATTTTATCCAGGTCATCTTCAAAATGAACATCAATATCCGCAGAGGTTTTGGACAGCTTCTGGAGGGTTTCGAGGGCCGCGATTACTTCCCCTCTAGTAGGCATCATTATCTCTTCTTTCACCTCATCGTCTTCTGTTTCTTCTTCTTCTTTTCTTCTAATTCGGGTCAACCGCAAATTTCCAACCCTTCATCCAGGGCAACATACTCCAGGAAAGTCAAAGTCTCAGATGGGTTTGTAGCTGAAAGGAGTTTGGTCCATTCTTCAGGCTCATCAAGCATTGTTTCTGGAAGTTAAAACGAATCAGATGTTTTTTTCCACACCCAATGAGACACTTATTTCTTTAGCCTTTTCTTTGACAAGTGCGCCGGATACAGGAATATTATTTTGTCTACTTTTTTTAAACCATTTTAAAAGCTCATCTTCCACGTCTTGATGGGATGCTTTTCGAAGTCGTTTTGAAGAGCTCGAAGACCCTGAGGCAACAGCCACATCTATTTTTTCTTTGTTTTTTAGAATGGTTGATAATGTGGATTTCGCAATTTGAAAATTTTCAGCAATTTGCGACTTAGATAACACTCCACGTGCAACTTCGTCCAAAATTTTCCTTTTTAAAGAAAATCAATGGCGCTTTTTTTTCGCGGTTTAGATGACATGTTCATGTAGGTTTTTTTTATGGAAGCTCAAACAATTCACACTTCGATTATTTAGAATTTAATAATTTTTATTTCCAGCGCATTATTTTTATAATACAATCAATTACTCGGTTATAAAAAAGATATAACAAATAGAAATAAGTCCTTTTTCTTCTGAGAGCTTGATTTACACAGATTATTATTCACAGAATATATTTTTATTATTTATATTATATTTAATATTTTTAAATATATGTTTTGTATAAAAATAAGAATAATATAATATTCTGTGAAATTCCGTGAAAGCGTGCGCTCCTTGGCTGCTGGCTGGCAGGGGTCACCATGGGCCCTACATTTATCAGTCGAGAGAAACAGCAATACTGGCACAATAGAATCGAAATTTTCCACTGATTGAGTACATGGAACGACCCCGAGGGGATGGTTTCATAGAAAATGAGTCATCATAACAAACAAAGGACGAATGTTTACAAAAAAGACAAAGAGAGCCAATACTTGATATCAACGGCGTTTTTTGTTGTTTTAATAGTTGTTATAGTTTAGTTTTACTTAGTTATAAAGTGATAGTTTAATTGTTTTACTTATAACTCGCCTTTAAAAACATATTAGAATTCGTTTTAACCGATTGATTAGTTCTGCTGGGGGCTAAATTTAATTCGTATTTCGTCATAACCGAATATTTCGTCTTAACCGGCAAAATCTCTTTGGAAAGCACTGAAATTTACCGGGGGAAAAGAAACGGTTCGCGCAAACCGAGGGTTCGTATAATCCGAGTTCGTGATAACAAGGGATTATGTATTGTATTTTAAATGTTACTTTAAGTATTAGTTACGAACGGAAAAATACACCTACAACATAACCTACAACAATTTTCAAAAGCACTCAAAACACACTCATGGTTCTAGAGGTAATATGGAGTGATAAAATAATTTACTGATTTCCTTCAAAATTTATATATAAGACTTATTATAGACATTTAAAAAAATATTTTTCACTTATTAATCAAATATAAACTTACCTTTGCAACTTCCATTTTCATCAAAGCTTTCTCCATCCTGGCACCCACATTCGAATCCTTCAGGAATTTTATTGTTCACTTTACAGAATGCTTTTTTGTCGCTACAAACTTGGATGTTTTTGGTAATCTGGCAGGTGCCTGAAAAATGAAATACATGTTATTTTTTTTACCTCAATTTCATTAAGTATATGAAAGTATCCTTGAATTCTATTTTATTCACGAATAGAATTTTTTTCTGAATCAGGTTAAGTCTATCTAATTCTTTCTTTAAAAGGTTTATGTTCAAAATATATCAATTTTCATAAAACTAGTATTTTCTCAAAATATTATGAGGAATTTTTGGATATTATATGAACATTAATTTTATTTTTATTTGAAAAACAATTAAATTTAGTAAAGTGGGCATTTTACGAGTATCTTTCATTATGGAATTTTCATTCTTGCATACACTGTTGAATACCTCTTTGGCGTCAGGTTTAGAAACACAATCGGCATTATTTTTTCGACCTATAGCTTTTGAGCGTATTTGATGCATTTATTTGACAAATATACTCGAATCCATTGATTTGGAAAAATTGATTAAGTAAATTGAATAAATCTTACTTATTCATATAAAATATTCAGAACCAATTGCTATCCAACTAATATCTTTAATTGCTTATAAAATAGAAAGAGGAGATCAATTATTGAAGTTAATGAACCTGATAACCTACAACAATTTTCAAAAGACTCAAAACACACTAATGGTTCTAGAGGTAATATGAAGTGATAAAATAATTTACTGATATCCTTCAAAATTTATATAAGTTCTATTATAGACATTTAAAAAATATTTTCCACTTATTCATCAATTATAAACTTACCTTTGCAACTTCCATTTTCATCAATGTTTTCTCCATCCTGGCACCCGCATTCGAATCCTCCAGGAATTTCATTGTTCACTTTACAGAATGCTTTTTTATCGCTACAAAATTGGGTGTTTTTGGTAATCTGACACGTGCCTGAAAAATAAAATACATATTAATTTTACTACTTCAGTTTCATTATGTATATAAAAGCAACTTTGAATTCTATTTTATTTACGAACAGAAAAATTTATCAGAATCTGGTAGGTCTATCTAATTATTTCTTCAAAAGGAATACATTCAAAAATATATCAATTTTTATAAAACTAGTATTTCCTCAAAGTGTTATGATGAATTTTTGGATATTATCTTAACATTAGTTGTTTATTTATTTGAAAAACAATTAAATCTAGTAAAGTGGGCATTTTTTTATTTTGTAATGGAATTTTCATTCTTGTATACACTGTTGAATACCTCTTTGGCGTTAGGTTTAAAACACAATCGGCATTATTTTTTCGACCTTTTGCTTTTGAGCGTATTTCATGCATATATTTAACAAATATACTTAAATCCATTGATTTTGGAAAAAATAATTAAATAAATTGAATTAATCTTACTTATTCATATGAAAATATTCAGAACCAAATGGTATCCAACAAATTTCTTCAATTGTTTATAAATTAGAAAGAGGAGATAAATAATTGAAGTTATTGAACCTAATAACCTACAACAATTTTCAAAATCCCTCAAAACACACTCATGGTACTAGAGGTAATATGAAGTGATAAAATAATTTACTGATATCCTTCAAAATTTATATAAATCTTATTATAGACCTCAAAAAAAATATTTTTCACTTATTCATAAATTATGAACTTACCTTTGCAACTTCCATTTTCATCAAAGTTTTCTTCATCCTGGCACCCGCATTCGAATCCTCCAGGAATTTCATTGTTCACTTTACAGAATGCTTTTTTGTCGTTACAAACTTGGATGTTTTTGGTAATCTGACAGGTGCCTGATAAATAAAATACATATTAATTCTTTCTTTAAAAGGAATATGTTCAAAAATATATCAATTTTCGTAAAACTAGTATTTCTTCAAAGTGTGTGTGTGTGTGTTATGAGGAATTTTTTTATATTATCTGAACATTAGTTGTTTTTTTATTTGAAAAACATTTAGATCTAGTAAAGTGGGCATT